ATAGTTTCGGAGCTACAGCGAGTACCCCAAACCCCTGCATTTAGGCCCTTTTGTTCAATTTCCGGTGAACGCTCACGGGTTGGGTCGGTAGACTTTACAGGACGTGATTCAGCACATCAAACTGCATCGATTAAGCCAAATTCCAGCTTGACGTATTTTTGTTCAGGGTTAAAACCTTGAAGTGCTGGACTACCAGTCAGAGCAGCGGGCGAGTCACGGCGACGGGAGGAAATGACAGAGTCTGTTTGCGTATCGGCAGAGGAAACAGCTGCGCGGCGCGCAAGTGGGTCACCACAGCGTGTCGCACACGCACCCCGTGTGCGCTACTGGTTTTAGCGCCCGGGTCCTCGCGACCCACAACCTCTCGCGTGTAACTCGTCGCTTGCAATTTCGCGCCGGCTGTCGCTTCTACTTGATGCCGTCGCTCCGTCTCCCTCTCGGTAAATGATCGCTTATGACCGCTGCACCAGCACCAATGTTGTTGTTCACGACACTCGGTTGTGCGCGTTGTACAGTATGTAGCGACGAGACGGGTCGAAGGCAAACGACCTCGGGTGATGAACACTTGTCGTCGTAAGGATCGTGTTCGCGGCGTCACATGGTCGTCACACACCACGTTTATCCCCACTCACAGGGATTAACGGAGATTGTCGTTTCACCTTTAACACGACACGTAGCTTTTTATTTTTTCCTTTTTTTTTATTTTTCTTGTTACCCACGGTCTTGTGCTGTACAGCGCCTGGTGCTGGGCAGTGTAGCCTAGCTCGACGACGCAGAGGAGCTCGTATAGTGTTGTCGGCCAGAGAGGCACCTCGCGTTAACCCGTGCTCCCAATTGTCTCGTCCTCGCCCGCCCGCCATCCGGCCCCGCCGCCGCGGTGTGGCGGCGACATGCTAACCTGCTTTGATGGAGAAATAAGTGTGATGGAGGGTTGTGGTGTGTGCGTGTGTGTGTGAGCTCGGCGGGAGCGTCCGGACAATGGGAGTGTGCATGAGATCAACCTGGAAGGGATCCTTTTCTCGTATTTTTTTCCCTCCTTTTCCCCCCTACTCCCTTTTGTCTCCCCCTTTACAGTAGGAGGGTATAAGTTTCTTGTACCTTCGCCAGGTGTGGTCCCACTCTACCACCACCCGGCCGTTTGCTCTCGCGTTTGCTGAATGACGATGACGCTTTCGTCGAAGGGCAGCGCATCAGACTCACAGATGTGTCGGCTGGCGGAGGTTTTGGTGAGACCGGTATTTGCAACAGTAACCTCGCTCTTGCTCTCCCTCTCATCCTTTTTTCTCCCTCTCCATCCCCTCCCCCTCCCCCTTCTCACACCATCTTGGCGCTGGCTGAATCCGTTTTCATTGTAAATGCGGCAATTCGTTTTTAATTTGCCGCCCGGCGCCCGATGGGGGATGGATATGGAGATGGATGGATGGGCCCCAAGGGCCTAAAGCGAATAAATTCTTTTTGCATGGAAATGCGGCGGAAAGATTGTGGGAGCGGGGAGACGCTGAGAGAGAGAGAGAGAGAGAGAATGGGGGTGAAGAGTAATGGCGAGGAGGGTGTGTTGGGTAGGACTTGTCAGCTCTGGGAGCTTTGGCGCGAAGTGCGCGGCAAAGTGGTGAGGCGCGACGCCTGGCCGCCCCACAGGGCCGCCCGTGCAGGCGGCAATGAGGAGGGGGTTCTTTGAGCGCGCCAGGCCCTGCGGCGGGGGCAGCGGTGGCAGGGACCTTCTGTGTTATGCAAAGAGGAAGGGATGTTTATTTCTACGAAAGGAAAAATAAAAATTGCGGTATGAGGGTAAGGGTCTTTTTGACGGTGTTTGAAAGTCGATGCTGCTGGGGATGTGAGGTGGCGTGGCTATTTGCATATTTCGGTGAGTCGACAAGAATACAAATCATCCGCATTTTTAACCCCTTCATTCCTCTCTGTATTTTTTGTGTGTCCGTGAGGCGACAGAGAGCAGCTGATGAGTTCGAATACCGGAACGAGCCCAAGTTTTTCTCCCCACTCTTCGCCTCGAGCAACGAGCCCTTTTTATTTTATTTTTTGTTTTTACTCTTTCCCTCTCTCTCTCCATGCCTCTCTCTCCCTCTCGCTCCCTCTCGCTCCCTCTCGCTCCCCCTCGCTCCCCCTCGCTCCCCTCCCTCTCTCTCATTCTTTTCGCACCGCTGGTCACCATGTCGTGTCGTGCTGGCGCGCTCAGGTACACCCAACGCGCTCTCCCCGACCCCCTCCCCCCCATTCTTCCCCCTTCCCCACACCCCATTCCCGTGGGGGCCGACCCCATCTACGTGTAAAACAAACACGATCGTGGCCCCTACCTTAATTGATGAACCCAAAACGACGCGTGTAATAGGCTGAGCGAGGGGTCCGGGGGGAAAGGGGAAGGGCGGGGGGACAAGTTGTGCCGCCTGGTTGTTTGCATCGTATCAATGAATGGATGGGCGCTGAGCGCGAGTGCATGGACGAATGACTTTATGGGCTTTACGGCCGATGGTGATGGTTGGTGCATGGTAGCCAACGGTAATGGAGCATAAGCGAGTGTAGCCGTGGGTGGCATCACGCCACGCTCACGTTCGCCTCCTTACAAAGCTATTTAAGTGTAGTGGACATGAAGGTTTTTCAGTCCTTGCGTTTCCTTGATATTTTGAAACTTTATTTTCCACGTGTCGAGTTTTTATTGTCCTTTTTTGGAAAATATGTTGGTTATTGAAATACTTTGACAAACGAAGCAAGTTCATGTTTTTCTATTTTGGAATGTCCCTCCCTCCTCGCGTGGTGCGTGCGTGTTAAAGGGCTCGGTGGTGATTCGATATCCGTGAGGCGGGGCGGGGCTGCGGTCTGCGGTTAGGCTTCGGTTTGAAAGCGTGCGGTCGGGTGCGGCGGTTTGCCTGCCGGTCTGCCAGCGGAGGGCGTTCTGGCCTGGCGTTCTCCGCCGCCCCACCTCGCCCGCCCCGCCCCGCGCCGTGGTTCACCTCCACACACACACACACACACACACGCCTGACGTTGCGCGCTCTGCTCGTCTGTTGCAGGTAAACGAGAACAATCGAGTAGCGCCCGGAGGATGGAACGTGGCTTCGCGAGGCGTCCATCGAGAAATGGTAAGTTCATAGTTCTATGGTTCTCTTTCAGCCAGAGTCGAGTCAGTTTCGCTTTGCACGCGAAAAGGAAAAGGAAATTCGTGTTGCCTACGCGTATTTGTACGCTATTCCTCTAACGAACTTCTCTTTGATTTTCACCACCAAGTGGCATCCACGTGAATGTAATGTTCCCCATCGAGCGTGCACGCCGTTTGTGAGTGTTCCAAGTTGTCGTTCCACTCGTGTTGCTACCTCTAACAAGCTGGGACCTCTCGCACCCGGTTCAAAGGAAAAACGAAGTCGTCGCGTGGTTTTTGAATAGTCCCCTCGCAGCCCCCTCAGGTGCTACGGCACGACGGCGCGAGGTGCTGTCGACGCCCTTGTTGGAAGGGGCGAGGTTGGGGGGCAGGAGTCGTGGGGGCCTGCCGCACATAACCTGCCGCAATTTACTGCAAAGGCCGCAAAGGCCCCGGATTCGCCGCAGCCATTCCCTCTGCCGGGTGGGCCGTCGCCGGGGTAGGGGCGTAGACCGGCGTCTAGACCCTGCGCGCCGCACCTTCACGGCAGCAGCGCCTCGCTCTTTTTCTCTTCCTTTCATCGCACCCCCCGCTCTCCGGCCCCTGCTCTCCCGCCCCTTCCCCACACGGGTGCGCCGCTCCGTGGCGTCGTGCTGATGGCCGTAGTGCACATCAAATGCTGTTTATTACCGCCACTAAAACGCTCTCCTCCTCTGAGGAGCTTCATCTGGGGGAGGCAGGCGGTGGCGCGGGGGTGAGGGGAGGGGGGCTCATATCACGACACGAGGGAGGAGTTGAGGGCGCTCAGACTACACTGCCGGAGTGCGGGGGGCATGTCGCCGGGGCACAGCACAGGCCCCCAGGGGGTAGTCGGGGCGCTGCTGATGGGATGGGGGTCAGGCCGGGTGGGTCACCCCGTCGTCACCCTTCACCCTGTTGACGACACAAGGGGCCGTGGAGGACAGTGACGTGGGAGGGCAGGGGATACTAGTTGAGGGTGGTTTTAGTTGATTATTATTCCGCCATCGTGACTTTTTCCACCGCTGGATGCACTCCGTCGGCGTGGGTCGGTCGGTGCGGCCGCGCCAAGCCGCGCCAAGTTTTATCGCCCGGTTTGCTGCTACCTGCTGCGGCTCGGGACGGGGCTATTTTCGCGTTGGCTTTACGAGGCGCTCACACACTGGCCGCCGTTAGCGCGGGGCCGCGCCCAGCACTGCGAGAGCGAGAGAAAAGGTGCGGGAGAGAGAGAGACAGAGAGCTGCGTTGGAGCGGACGGTTTTGTCCGGCTACTTGCTTGGCGCACGTGCTGGGGCGCGGGGCCGCAACCCTCTGCTGCTCCGGACCTCTTCGCCCCGCCGCGCCACGCCACGCCCCGGAGAGGGCCACTCTCTATTCGCGTGGTAAACCTCTGAAGGGTGGCTGGGATTCGCACACTGGGCGCCTTGAATGAGGGGCGGCGGGTCGGGCCGGG